GAGCACCCCACAGCTCTCCCTGGAGAGCAGGCCCATCCCCCTGAGCACCCCACTGTCTCTGCTGGAGAGCAAGCCCACACCCCTGAGCACCCCACCATGCCCCCTGGAGAGCAGGCCCACCCCCCTGAGCACCCCACAATGGTGCCTGGAGAACAAGCCTACCCCTCTGAGCACTCCGCCATCCCCCCTGGAGAGCAGGCCTACACCTATGAGCACCCCATGACCTCTGCAGGAGAACAAACCCACACCCCTGAGCACCCCACCATCCCCCTTGGAGAGCAAGCTCACTCCCCTGAGCACCCCACAATGGTGACTGGAGAGCAAGCCCACACCCCTGGGCACCCCACCATCCCCCCTAAAGTTCAGGCTTACACCCCTGAGCATGTCACAGTGGTGACTGGAGAGCAAGTCCACACCCCTGAGCATCCCACTGTCTCCCCTGGACAGCAGGCCCACCTGCCTGTGCATATCAACATCCCCCCTGGAGAGCAGGCCCACACCCCTGAGCACCCTATGATCTCTGCAGGAGAACAAACTCACCCCCTTGAGCACCCCACCATCCCCCCTGAAGAGCAGGCCCACACTTCTGAGTATCCCTCCGTGTCCCCTAGAGAACAGGCCCACCCTCCTGAGCACCCTACCCTGGCCCCCGTAGAGCAAGCCTACACCCCTGAGTACCCCACCCTCCCCACAACAGAGCTAACCCACACCCCTGAGCACCCCACCTTCACCTATGGAAAGCATGCCCACACCCCTGGAGAGCAAGATCACTCCCTTGAGCACCACATTACCTACCCTGGAGAGCAAACCCATCCCCCTGAGCACCCCACCCTGGGCCCAGAGGAGCAAGCCCCCCCTCCTAAACACCCTACTATTTCCACTGGAGAGCAAGCCCACACCCCTGAACTTCACACCATCCCCCTAAGAGAGCAAGCCCATACCCCCGAGCACCCCACACTCACCCCTGGAGAGGAAGCACACCCCCTTGAGCACTCCCCTCTTTCCCATGGAGAGAAAACCCAACCCCCTGAGCACCCTACACTCACTCCTGGAAAAGGGGCCCACACACCTAAGCACCCTACCTTCGCCCCTGGGGAGCAAGTTCATCCCCTGAAGTATCCCGCCACCTCCCCTGAGAAGCAAGCTCACACCCCTGAGCAACCCACACTTCCTCCTGGAGAGCAAAGCCACACTCCTGAGCACCCCACTCTCCCTGCTGAAGAGCAGACCCACCCCCCTGAGCACACTAGTCTGACTCCTGTAAAACAAGCCCACCCCCATGAACACCCCACGATCCCCCCTGGAGAGCAAGCCCACACCCCTGAACACACAACCTTGGCCCATGGCGAGCAAGTCCATCTCTCTGAGCACCCTACCCTCCTCCCTGGAGGGCAAACCCACCCCTCTGGAATTCAAGTCCACCCAACAGAGCATCTTTCCCATACCCCTGAAGAGCAAATCCACCTTCCTGAAAAACCCACTGCCCCTCCTGAGAAGACCATTGAAATGATCACTGTCACCATAAAAAAACCCACCAAAATGACCATTGTTCCCACTGAAAAACCCACTGAAACAACCAGTATCCCCAAAGAAAAACCCAATGAAATGACCACCACCCAACCAGAAAAAAACATTGCACCCACAGAAAAACCCACTGTCCCCACAGAAAAAGCCACTGAAGTGACAACTGTTCTTACAGAAATACCCAACATCCTTACTGAAAAATCTACCATCTATACTAAAAGGCCCACTGCCTCCACAGAAAAACCCACCTCCACAGAAAAACCCACCTCCATGGAAAAATCCACCATCTCCACAGAGAAACCCACTGTCCCCACAGAGAAACCCACCTTCAAAGAGAAACCCACTATCTTCACAGAGAAACCCACCATCCCCACAGAGAAACTCTCTGTTTCCACAGAGAAACCCACTGTCCCCACAGAGAAACCCATTGTCCCCTCAGAGAAACCCACCTCCACAAAAAAACCCACCATCCACACAGAGAAACCCATCTCCACAGAGAAACCCACCATCCCCACAGAGAAACTCACTGTCCTTACAGAGAAACCCACTGTCCCCACAGAGAAACCCACTGCCTCCACAGAAAAACCCACCTCCACAAAAAAGCCCACCATCCCCACAGAGAAACCCACCTCCACAGAGAAACTCACCACCCCCACAGAGACACCCACTGTCCCCACAGAAAAACCCACCATCTCCACAGAGAAACCCACCTCTACAAAAAAACCCACCATCCGCACAGAGAAAACCATCTTCACAGAGAAACCCACCATCCCCACAGAGAAACTCACTGTCCTTACAGAGAAACCCACTGTCCCCACAGAGAAACCCACTGTCCCCAC